ACATACATACATACATATATATACATACATACATATATACATATATATACATACATACATATATATATATATATATATATATATATATATATATATATATATATATATATATACATATACATATATATATACACACACACATACACACACACCCCAATGGCTCTTTATAAAACGCATTTGCCTAAAATAAATCTGAAATGGCTCTTTGCTGAAAAAGGTCCCCTGTAAAAGTCAATGTACACGTTTCCAGCATTCTTCAAAATATCTTTTCGTTTTGAACAAGTGAATTTATGTAATGACAGAATTTTCATTTTAATACTTCCATTCAGAAACTTGATAACTTTACAACTAGCATAACATAGAAATCTAAATCAGATGTATTACTATAGACGGCTTCAACTTACTTCAGTCTTTATATCTGAAATGGGCTTGTATGTCATTTGCTTTGACATCATTTGCATTTCCAAACCTTTTGGAAGATCTTACCATTTACTCTGCTCGACTGCCAGATCCCACAAAACCGGTAAACAAACACTGACGACGAGAGGAGAAGAAGAAAAGCCCGCGCTTGGCTCATGATCACGCCACATTCTGACAGACCGAAAATAACGACACGACGCCAGGAAAACTGTATGGCTCATACTTTAATAATGTTGAATATAGTTTAATTTCTTTATACAAAATGAAAGCTCAAGGTAAGCAGCCTTGTTAGTTGAAAAACACCGATTATTAATATTAAGGTAGTAGAGTAGTACATGACGGGACGTCCCAAAACCAAGTCAGAATGTACTCATGCGTTTGATAGCATCCCTCAGGCGTTTAAATCCAGAAAGCCTCTCTACTTTGAGCATTTTCGTCTGAAAATCTTCTCTACAAACCCTGAGGGCCACGGGACATTATTATTTCACATGACAGTTGAACAGACGTCCGTTATTAACGTGAAGCAGCAGATCGTTTTATCCCGCGGATTTGCTGCTCTGTGCGACGAAAAAGCTTCGGTATTTCAACAAAATAAATACGGTAAGTTCACTTGAACATCATCACAAGGACACTTGTAGCGAGAACATAACGTGTCTCTTTAAAAGGATTTACAAGCTCAGACTCTATTAGCATAAAAATATACAATGTGCAGTAGTAGGTTCCATAAAGTCAGTCAAATATAGGTTTAAAAAATGAACAGACTTAACTAATAGCAGCCGGATTGACTGTTTACCACACCTAGCATACAACATACATGGAAATAAAACCTTGTCTGTGCCTTTCTGTAGGAAAACCATTTCAACCGTCTATACATTTTAATAGCATAAAAATAGACTTCGTAGCTTCGTCAGTCAAGTTCCATTTAGCTAACATTATAAAAATGTAAATCACCATATTTACAATGTGCTAATCATACGATTAAAGGAATGTTCCAGGTTCAAGGATACAAGGTTATGTCATTTTTGTGACCATAAATCACGTTCAACTAAACCAAAATGGTGATTACAGTAAGATACAACTAAATTATGAGCAATTTCAGCGTTATGGATGTGACATTTGCAGTAAACCCAAAGCATAAATTCACATAAAGAGTATATGTTGACATTAAATTGAAACATCTGTTTATATTTCCTAAAACTACTAACCGAGCAACTATAATCAATGACATCATTTATGAATTTTGCCAATTTAAGAGTTAAAAATTCTGTAATTTTTAAACAATTTAGTAGTTTTGATCAGAACTGAGGTTGATTAACAGGTTTATGCAAAAAAAATATATCTGATGCATTTTTACAGCAGTTTAATTCAGTGGATGTTTTCATCCCAAACAACAAAAGTGTAGTAAATTTGAACAGTGCATAAGGGTTAACATGGCTAACCTCGTTACCCTGATGAAGTGTTGCGGAAACGTGTACAGTTGCAGTCAGAATTATTAGCCTTCTTTTGATTTTTTTTCTTTCTTTTTTACATATTTCCCAAATGATGTTTAACAAAGCAAGGAAATTTTCACAACATGTCTGATATTTTTTTTTCTTCTTGAGAAACTCTTGTTTGTTTTATTTCGTCTAGAATAAAAGCAGTTTTAATTTTTTTAAAAACCAGTTTAAGGTCAAAATTATTAGCCCCTTTAAGCTATATATATTTTTTCAATAGTCTACAGAACAAACCATCATTATACAATAACTTGCCTAATTACCCTAACCTGCCTAGTTAAGTTTAGCATTTAAGCTGAATAGAAGTGTCTTGAAAAATATCTAGTAAAATATTATTTACTGTCATCATAGCAAAGATAAAATAAATCAGTTATTAGAAATGAGTTATTAAAACTATTATATTTAGAAATGTGTTGAACAAAATCTTATCTCCGGAAAAAAATAAACAAGAGGGCCAGTAATTCAAGGGGGCTAATAATTATGACTTCAACTGTAGATGTTTTATATATATATATAATAGCAATGTTAATAAAGGCATTTTACATTTTTTCGCTTACTTTTCAAGTGACTTGGACTTATGATCATATTAAGTGAGTTTTGGATATCTCTTAAAAAAAGGATACTAAAACATTACTAAAAGAAAACAGAAAAATTGCACTGGAATAAAATAATAATTTGGTAAATGCATATCATCACTATATAAATATACAAAGCTAACTTTTGTTGAATGTAATTAGAATATAGTCAACAATAAAAAGTTTGGTATATATAATCTCTCTCTATATTCTGTCGGGTTCTCAAATCTGATTGGCTGATAGTCATGAGGTATTAAAGTAATATCACCCTTTTCACCCACACGAGCAACTAGAGGACTACAGTTTAACGAATATTGCAACATAATGTACTTTTGAGGCTTTTTTGGGTGAGAATGTAGCTGTTTAGATTGCAACTATGCAGTTTATTTAAAAGTATATATGAACTACCTGTAAAGTTATTGTATGTAATCAGAATATAGATCGGAATAAAACTAAACTTTGGTAGAGGTAATCAGAAACTATGTGGCACTAAAATATATTCTGAATAAAGCTGTACACAGTAGAGCAGGTAATTAGAATATAGTTTTTAATTATACTGTAAACTTTGGCATATGTCATTAGAATATTATTAGGAAAAGATTTATATGTACTTTGGTGTAATCAGTTCTTCAGACAAATAAAAGATTTGGAGCAAGTGCTACTAAAGTGAGATTTCAGATAGATAATCTGCAATACAATTATCACACATTTTCTCTCGTTTTCTTTCAACTCGTCAATAGCCCCTTTCACACCGTGATACCCGTAAATATCCGGAAAATTTACGGAACGACTTTACCAGTAGATTTAAAAAAGCGCTGTTCACGCAGGCATGGATGTTACGGATTTTTTTCAGGAAAAGACTGTTCACACATCCATTCCAAAATACCGGTAAATTCTGACATCATTAACCAGAAATTACCTCTAAATGGATGCGCTTGTATTTGTAAACATTTGACTACATTACAAACTCTGGATGGATCAGTGTTGTGAACAACTTCGATGAAAACATATAGAGAAACACTTTCGCATGTCGAGATGTTCATGATGTGTGTGTGTGTGTGTGTGTGTGTGTGTGTGTGTGTGTGTGTGTGTGTGTGTGCTGGCTCATCAGCTGCTTAACGGGCACACGCGACGCAGAGCTTGAAGGTAAACAAACAACGGCTTATCATAAGCATATTATCGATACTTATTTACACCGTTGGCATTAAGATTAACATATAAACGTTATCTGACTAACATCTAGCAGCTAAGATCTGTCTGGAAAAATATTCAAAGGCTTTTATTTTTATAAACCGCACGGACATGAATGCATTTGAGTGTTCTGATTGGCTAAAGTAGACGTCTCACGTCAGCATGTTCTAGAAGTGCACACGCTCTTTCCGGCAATCTTCCTTTTGCGTTCACACAGCGCAGCATTCTGGCAAATTACCGGTAATGTTACAACTTCTCTTTCCGGAAAATAGCCGGAACGAATTTACCGGTATTTTCAAAAAGGGCCTGATCACACATACAGACCTTTCCGGAAAATTGCCGGTAATTTTCCGGAAAGGTCTGTATGTGTGAAAGGGGCTAATGAGAAGAGATTTTATGGAAGCAAAAAAAAGTCCAATATCTCTCAAATAAAAATTGCATGAAAAAAATAAATTTGTATTTTGGGGAAACTCTGCTTGAAATTATCTGTATTATTAAATTGTTCATTTCTTACAGTAAAAACATACAAAAAATAAGAAATTAAGTCAAAAGAACTTGTGGTAACCATGCCATTAAACACTGTTGAAAAAGCTTACCTTACTGAACCTGGAATATTCCTTAAAGTCTTTCTCCAAAAACAAAACAAACAAAAGAAAGTCCTGGTTATTCTTGCCCGTGGACCTTCGTGATGATTACAGCATGGACAGAGTTTTACAACATCAGCACAATGTCCCCGACTCGGGGCTGCGAGTGAAACAACATGGCTCCGTTCACTTTTACAGGCATGAGATGATATCATTCAGAGTTTTACCAAGCGCCTGTTAAAAGGGTACGTCCATCTACTCAGGAAGTATCCATCCGTCATCCGTCCGGGAACGCTCTCAGACCGAAGACTGGTCCCAAACCTACACCACCACCAGGATAAAGAGGTCACTTCAACAATTCAACTTTCGCTGTCTGACGCAAACATCAAAGGATGCCCATTTAACGTCTGGTTTTCCCCAGAGACTCTTAACTTTCTTTAGAAGATATTTAACTATAAAGCTGCGGATGTTGATGCATTTGTTTTGTTTGTGCATGCATGAACGTCGATGTGCGCGCCGCTAGAAGGACACACAGTTTACGTGGCAGTGTCTCATGCGTACCTTGTTGACGGGGGTCAGCTGGGTGCGTACAGAGCTAGTGTGCAGTCGTGTCCGCTCGCGGTCTCTCTCGCTGCCGCTGCTCTCGAAGCGACCGGGAGACCTCTCTCTGCGGCTGTCTAGCACCGGACGGCCCGGGGATTTCTCTCGCTCCAGGGGCCGGGCTGGAGATTTGTCTCTCCGGAACTCGGTGCGGCCCTCGCGGTAGCGGTGAGGAGTGCTGGGCTCGCGGTGCAGGGGCCCCTCCTGGGCTCCAGGACTCGAGGCCAGACGTTTGGAGATGTGCTCGTTGTATGTTGGTGGACCGCGCTTGTTGGGGCTGCTGTGGAGATTCGGGTAAATGCATGATGCTTTGACTGCACACAAGATGATTCATAACATGCATGTGAAGTGTTAAAGTACACATGAGGTCAAATCTAACCATATTGATTTGGTCAGCTTCACATTGCTAGTTTTGTGGTTAACAATTAATTTGTGCACGTCATTAAGACCAAATGCCCTTGTAATCTGAAATTGAAATCTGGAAATGCACTTCCTGTGCTGTGTTTCAGTTCAATTCTCAGTAAGGATGCAATGATTAATCGATTTCACTATTAACCACGATTTAATTCGTCACGGTTAATTAATCGTAAAGGCTTTTTAACACTGCGTTTCAGCATGGAACAACTAAACAAAGTTACGCCAACTGTGCGCTAGTCAGTGTTGGGTAAGTTACTTTAAATACGTAATAGATTACAAATTACTGACTACTACTACAAAATTGTAATCAGATTACATTACTAATTACTTCCTTTAAAAAGTAATCAGAATACTTATTACTTTATTTTGAAGTTATTTTTAAAACATAAAAATATGCCAGAAGGTATCTTCAATCCCAAACCTGCACAGCAATCCAATTTAGTCTGTTTAGGCTGAGTTTAGGCACCGGTGTCCTCCTTGGTGACGAGTATTGTAAATAATGTTTTCGGTTCAAGTGCTTGCAGATGCTGGTCGAGTTGAAAGTAATCTAAAATTTATAAGAAAACTGGACATTGACTGAATTCCACAGCAGTATTTTTGTTTTTACACTTAATAAAATCAAAGTAATGTCTGAATTTCAGTTGACGAAGCAGCCACTGTCGTAAGTAACCATTTCAGCTCGCTTTCTCCAGCAATAGGGTATATGCCGAGCTAGTGCTGTTCCCATGCTGATACACTTCCGGTGACCTGTTATTGTGAACTTTTTTCCATTTTTTACGGTTCCTTTTACAGCATCGATGTTGTAATGTCATTAAAATACATTGAGTTAAATAAACTTTAGCATTTATTTGGTTGCTCAAGCATAAAACGAGACAAAAAGCTGTTTACTTGTACGCGCCCGTCAGAATCGGCAGACTAACGCAGAAGCTCCATTGAATATACTAGGGTAAAATAAATGCTCATATTATAAAGATATGGCGGGGGAAATGTAATTTAATGCAGTGCTTCTTGTACAATCTGAGACCCACTTTAAACCGGATATCACTCAGCAAGTGGAGATCGCTGATTTTTAAAGAAAACAGACCTTAATCGCACTGATTTTGCATTGGCATTCAATTCGTAGGAAGCCCTAAACCCAGGTTACTGGCAAATTAAAAGTCCTATTAGCATGCTTCGGCATATACCCCATTTAAAAGCGCCTGTTTATTAACTGACTGCGCAGCGGAAAACGTGATTTAAAAGAAGCATTTTTTCTGCTAAAAACTATAATGGTGATGCAAGTAACGCAATTTCACTGACTTAAGTAACATTAATCAAATTACATAAATTTAAAATGTAATTCGTTACTTTACTGCAGGGGTCACCAATCTCGGTCCTGGAGGGCCGGTGTCCCTGCAGGATTTAGCTCCAACTTGCCTCAACACACCTGCCTGGATGTTTCAAGTATACCAAGTAAGACCTTGATTAGCTTGTTCAGGTGTGTTTGATTAGGGTTGGAGCTAACATTTCCAGGACACCGGCCCTCCAGGAACAAGTTTGGTGACCTCTGCTTTACTGCGTTCCTCAAAAATGTCATTAGAATACAGTACAGTTACACTTAACTCTGGCTCTAGTTTGAAGTTCTGAGTTTCTACACTGAGGCTAATACGTACACTGGTTTAACTATAGCTGAGGCTATTAACTAAGGGCCGTTCATGTTAATGCATCTTTTGTGTGCAAGTTCCAAGTTAAAATTGCATCTAGTTGAACGAATGCCACAAGCGCACCGCGAGTCTCGTGACAAGAACTGACCGATCCACTTCATACTTTGTATAGACTATACACATTTCTACTCTGAAGAGAAAAAAAAATTCTAAATGAAATTACCAAACATTTTTGTAATAGTTAATCAAATGTGCCTTGAAGATGGAGATTTAGCAGTCTTTCACTATATTTGATCTTTTTATTAGGAAAATACTTATATATAAAATAAAAAATACTAATATGCAGCTTAGATTTACATTAGACAAAAACTATTTTTTAATACTTTATATTTTAATTGATTTATTATTCTGACATTTATTTTCAGTGTAAAATTATTACTTATGTTTCAATGTCAAAAAGGTTTTTCACTTATTTTTAAGTCCAAAGAGAAATGAACAATTGTTTGTTTTTAATATTATTATGTGCTATGTTATTTTGAGCTGCAATAAATAACACTTTCTCACTATACAGAGTTTTCATGTGATTTTCTACACTAGTAGTGTTCTGAACTGTAAATAAAATGTGTTTATTCCTCAGACTAGATTGGTAAAACCAAAATCTATAATCATTGCATCCCTAATTCTCAGATAACTTAAGTCTGAGATATTGAGTGTGGTTAATATACTTCAGTCACGTCCACTGTTTTCTCATTTAATATTCAGTTTCCCTAAGAAACTGCGTCACAACTTTAAAAAAAAATAAATAAATAAAGTTGCAGCTTCCAGTTCATGCAGACTTTAAAGATGGATGTTTTTGTGAAATGGTTTTACCCAAGCAAAAAAAAAAAAATATTGTCTTGTTTTCAGAAACAAGTCAACATTAATCTGCCAATGGGGTAGTCACAAAAAAAAAAAAGAATCTTGATTTAAAGCATTCATTTGGACATTATTTCTGAAAAGACAATATTTATTTGCTTGTCTCGAATTGTTTCTTAATTTAATATTTTTTTGATATTTGGACTAGAATCAAGACAAAAACTTGTTCCAAACCTTTATGAGTTTTTTTTTTCCTTCTGTTAAACACAAAGGAATATATTTTGAAGAAAGCCAAAACCTGGAACCATTGAGTTCCATAGTATTTCCTACTATAAAAGTCAATGGTTACTGATTTTCCGCTATCTTTATCATTTCTTCTTTAGTGGTCAACAGAAGACAGAAACTCAACAGTTTGGAAGCAAGTAAGAGAGAGAAAATAGTGTGTAAATGTTTGGGTGAACTATCCCTTTTAACCCTAATGCTGTGTGTAGCTTTTTAATTCTTTGTTAGACATATTGAATTTTCCAGAATGAAAATTCAGAGATTTACTAAAATCAAAATGTGATAGAAAGCTGACATGAGCCACATTGAAAATCTAGAGCAGAGGCGCCCAAACACTTTCTTATAAAGGGCTAAAAACCAAACTTGATTGAGGGTTGTGGGCCGAAAGGTAAATTAAATCACAATATCTGTGAAATAAATACCTGTCATTCCTCTTAGACAGGACAGTGGGCCTAATAAAATTTTACTGTGGGCCAACTTTGGCCCACAGGCCCTAGTTTGGGCATTTCTGGTCTAGAGCAAGCACGAAATGATTCCAACCCCTGGAAAATTCAGACTTAAGGTTACTTTTACTCAACCAGCAGACCAGAAATGACACCAGCTTCTCCCAAGAGATAATAAGATGTATAAGAGGCATGCTCATGGAGATAAGAATGTATCAGCTTTACTTACATTTGAACAAAAGCTCAAAAGTCAGAATTTGCCAGGGGTGTGATTAATTTTGAGCTTTAAAAATTATTAGCCCCCCTGTGTTTTTCTTTTACAAATATTGATGTATGACTGACCAAGGAATTCTTCACAGTATTTCCAATAATATTTTTTTTTTTCCGGAGAAAGTCTTATTTGTTTTATTTTGGCTAGAATAAAAGCAGTTTAAGGTAAATATTATTAGCCTTCTTAAGCAATATTTTTTTTTTTCGATTGTCTACAGAACAACTATCGTTACTTGCCTAATTAACAAAGTTAAAACCTTGAACAATATCTAGTCAAATATTATGTGCTGCCATCATGGCAAAGATAAAAAGAAATCAGTAATTAGAAATTAGTTATTTGTGTTCAGAAATGTGTTAAAAAATCTTCTTTCATCTAAAAACAGAAATTGAGGAAAAAAGAATAAATACAGGGGGGCTAATAATTCAGACTTGAACTGAATATACTCGCTTCAATCCAGCAACTTTTATTTGTCCAGGCATTGAAAAAGGAAGCACACCTCCTGCTGGAGCCGGTCCTCTGCAGCTCTCCAGACTCCCGCACCAGACTGCCCTTACAGCAGATCACCCGCAGTTTGTTCTGGTAGGACGAGGCCAGATAGATGGCACCAGACGATATGGCTGGACCCAGATAACGTGGGTTAGGAATGTCCAGGTGAACCAGACTGGGAGGCCTATGTGTTTGAAGAAGATTCAGTGTCATTTTGATTAGGGCTGCATAATAAATAGTTTCAGCTTCCAAATCATAATGTGTGCATCCGCAATAGTCACATCCCATACATATGCAATGTGAAGTTGACTTTGCATTGTAGTTTTTAAATTTATATATACAAAAATATAAAAGCATGCACCGCTTATTTCACTTTTATCTTTGCTTTATTGCATTCATCTATGCTTGTGGTTTGTTTATTACATTTTATGCAGGACTCGCTCCCCTGCAGAATCATCCCAATCAATCAAAATGAATGTATTTGATAACACTTTAGGGACCAATTCTCATTATTAACTTGCTTATTTGCATGCATGTTAGTAAGATATTGGCTGCTTATTAGTACTTATAAACTACACCCACCGGCCTCTTTATTAGGTATACCTGTCCAACTAATCGTTAACGCAGATTTCTAATTAGCCAATCACAAGGAAGCAAATCAACGCATTTAGGCATGTAGACATGGTCAAGACGAGCTACTGCAGTTCAAACCAAGCATCAGAATGGGGAAGAAAGGGGATTTAAATGACTTTGAAAGTGGCATGATTTTTGGTATTTCAGAATTTAGCTCGGCAACAGTAACTCTAATAACCACTTGTTACAACTGAGGTATGCAGAAGAGTATCTCTGAATTCAAAGCATGACCAACCTTAAGGCGGATGGGCTACAGCAGCAGAAGACCACACCGGGTGCCACTCCTGTCAACTAAGAACAGATAACTGAGGCTGAAAGCATTGATCTAACCTGCCTTAAATCAATGATTCAGGCTGGTGGTGGTGGTGGTGTAATGGTGTGGGGGATGTTTTCTTGGCACACTTTGGGCCCATTAGTACCAACTGAGCATTGTGTCAATGCCACAGCCTACCTGAGTATTGTTGCTGACCTTCTCAATCCCTTTATGACCACAGTGTACTCATCTTCTGATGGCTACTTCCAGCAGGATAGCGGGCCATGTCATAAAGCGCAAATCATCTCAGACTGGTTTCTTGAACATGACAATGAGTTCACTGTACTCAAATGGCCTCCACAGTCACCACATCTCAATCCAATAGAGCACCTTTGGCATGTGGTGAAACTGGAGATTCACATTATGGATGTGCAGCCGACAAATCTTTAGCAACTGCTTGTTGCTTTCATTTCAATACGGAGCAAAATCTCTGAGGATTATTTCCAGTACCTTGTAGAATCTATGCAGTTCTGAAGGCAAAAGCGGGTCCAACCCAGTACTAGTAAAGTGTACCTAATAAAGTGGCCGGTGAGTGTACAAATTCTGCATGATCTTATTTTACATCCCTAAGTCAATACCTAAACTACCTTATAAATAAGGACTAAATCAGTAGTTTATTGTTGCGAAAGTAAAATTGAATGGTCTGCTAATAGCGTGAATTGAACCTTTAAAAAAAGTGAGACTATAAACTCTTTCAAAAATAGTGCTATTCAATTATTTGGTGAAATTGTGATATTTTTTCTGTGATATACTGTATCCATACAATGTCAGATTTTTCCAATATTGTGCAGCCCTATTTGTGATGCTGTTATTGGTGTCCTGTGTGCATTCGTGTTGCTGAATGTCCTACCCAAGAGCTGCGTGTCCCTGAATCTCAATAACATCCAGAGAGTTGAAGTAGGTCACAAAGAGATACGGCTCTCTGAAGGCTGGAAACAAACAGATGCTTCGGTTAATGAGTCTGGAGATTCTCATTATTGCATTCTGGATTAGTCAGGAAAGGAAAATGAGTTACCGAACGTCAGGGGAAGTCGACTCCACTTCAGATCATCAGGGCGACTTCTTCGACCGTAAGCATCCACAAAAACTCCGATCTCTGTTAGGAGAAGTCAGAAAACCATGTAGAAATCAATGCAGTTTATTGTATTGCTCATTAAAAGGCAAATAGGGAAGGCTAAAACATCAGTGACTTTGCTTTTGCTGGTGCTTCTGTATATATTTAATATCCCAGAGTATGCAGTTTTTTTTTTGTCTCTTTTTTTTTGCAGAATGCTGCATTGAAGTCACATTTCATTTAATTCAGCTCCTAATCACGTTATAAATACTAAAAATAGTATAATAATATAACAATAATAATAATAGTATAATAATAATAGTAATAATAGTATAATAATAACAATAATTATAGATGGATAAAAATTCAAAATAGTTAATTTACATGTTTAACAGAAATACAAATGGTTATTATTAGGGCTGCATGATACTTGCGATATTGCTGTTGACTATTGCAATAAAATAAATTAAAAGTAACTAGTAACTATTAACTTGAGTAACTTCTTCATCAGATACTTTTTTACTACTTTTACTTGAGTAAACATTTCCGCAAGTACTTGTACTTTTACTTTAGCATAGATTTTGGATACTCTACCCTTCCTAACATCAAGACAAACATATAAAAAGTTATGCGTCTTTGCAATGCGTGTCTGACCGTGGAAACACAGCAGATATTCCTCCTTCTGCGGAGTGCTGGACACCTGGACGATAGAGATGGGGAAACTGTGGGAGGATCCGGTGAAGACAGCCGACGCCAGCGACACGTCATTCTTGTCCAGGAACTCTGCCAAAAACAGTCCATCATGCAAAACGCTGTTTACATAATGCTCAATTACAAATGATAAGTGCCGGATCATGTTCCCACAAGCGGCCCGCCAGCCGGTGCAACCACAGAGATATCGGCACTGCAATATGCAAATGTGGAGAAAATGACTGCAATGACTGGCTGAAACCTTTTCAATAACACAGCCATCAATCTCCAATGAGACAGGAGATATACATCGGATGCCAGACCATCTTTTTTGGACTGACTTTCATCTAACTGGGCGCACACTGGGTGACGGTGATTTACGTACCGTCCAGAACGCACTGCTTCATCTCGATCTCGTAGAATTTATTGGTACCAATGATGATGCTGTAGCTGGTGAAGTGGATGCAGCTGCACGGCTCCAGAGTTTCAATCTCCTGTGAGATGAAAAAGACGGATCATTAGGGGTGTGTGTGTGTGTGTGTGTGTGTGCGTCTCTGGAGGAGTCTTTTAAGTCACACCAGAAGGAAAAAGCACGTCAGACATCACAGCTGTTTGTGAAGGAAATACATTACTAAATTTCAGAAATCAAAGGGTTATTGTGAACTTGTCTCACCAAACCACCGACAATTGACAAATCTCAAATATACAGTTCTTTCATAACAGTCTGAAAACACAAATAACGGAGCAATACAGACATTAACATATTTCATTTTTGAAGTTTCAATTAATTTATATGTAATTTTGGATTTTTTTTTCATTTACAGTTCCACCGTTTCACTGTCTTGAATGTGAGAGAAACCAGGACGCTCTCTTCTCTCCCCTCCACCACACCACATCACAACCTCACAACATTATGCAAATCTGAGTGCGCCTCACACAGGTGAGTGGGCTTGACAAACCACCTGTGGAAAACACACTCTTCTATCTCTCTTCTATCTTCTATCTCTCTTCTATACTCTCTTCTATATATCTCTCTTCTATACTTTAACCAACACTTGCACCAGACATTAGTGATTGTTTATTAAAGCTTTTTGAACCAGTGAAACTTTCAACTCAATTGTATAGGAAAAAGGTTCGTTACTCAAAGCTTTCCAAATGAGAGCTCGATGAGGACCCCTGCTAGTTAAGTATGGAAAAGCACTGTGTTGCAAAAACGTCAAATGTTCACAACCGACCAGCTCATACCTGTAGTAATACAACAATAGTAATATAAACAAATTATCCAATTGCTGTAGTCGGTTGCTCTAACAAGGAGGCTAAAGACCATGGACTTGAACATGAAGCATACTAATGTGTATTGGTGTATTATTTACAACAATTTATAATATATGCAACAGTATATTGTAGTATAGTGTCCAACTGAGGCCAGCTTGCGAAGGCAGCGCAGAAGCCTCACTCCTCATTCGCCTCCCATATAGCAATTTATTTTTTGATCCTTGCTCGGACCGAGTGGGTGAGTGTAGGACCAGTTGGAACACGATAAATGTAACTACTATTGATTACCTTGGATTTTGCTACAGTAATCCTTGGTGTAATGTTACATACCTTATGTAACCCACCGGTCCTACTGCACCCAACCCGGTCTGAGCTGGGATCGAACCTGCGGTTCTTTGCATGGGAGTTGGTTACTGTAACAAGGAGGCTAAAGACCATGGCCTCTAGCATCTGTCACTAGAGCACTTTTTGATGTAAGAGTGAGGTTTACTTGCAGAGCGCTTTATATATATATATATATATTAGGGGTGTAACGGTTTACATAAATCACGGATCGGTTCGAAAGTGGTGTCACGGTTCAACACGTTTTCGATACAACAAAAAAAGAAAAAAGCCAGAGGATTTCTGCTAAGCAGCAAATAAAACAAATCCTTCTTTATACTCAAAACAAAAAGCTTCATATAAAAAGTAAATGTAATAATGTAGTAGTTAAACAAATAACAAATAAAATAACAATTTAGTTTTTATATGTTATTTCAATCTATTTATAAGTAATTTGTTTTCTTCAGACAGCACAGATCTGCTTGATTTGATTGTCACCTGCCATTTTAGTGGATCTGAAAGCAGGAATTATCTGACTGAAATGGGCTTATAAAGGAATAATGTAACAAGGCTCTATTACATTTAACATTTTCTTAAAAAATGAACCTTTTTTCTTGGTAGCACCGGCGCTTCCAACTTCAAAAATGTAGGCGCACCAGACAAAATTTAGTCGCACCCACCAAAAATGATGAGCACCGTTACTACACATTTTATATGGACAGATTCTACTATATATTTACACTCTAATCACAATTAACAAATAAACAAAAATCTGCATGCTCTCACCGGCCCTGCACACACTGCTTGATGTGAATGAGATGACAGCATCATGATGATTAAATGAAGGATTACATAATTGACAGCTGTGATTGACAGCTGATATGAACCAATGGATTTGCATTCTGTTGTAGCGCAGTGGGCCAGTAAGAAAAGCTTGAAGGCGGGGCAAGCATTGCAGGCTTTTTTGTACTTCTTCTCTTTTATCTTTTTAGAATCGTTTGGTTTGTAATGCGTACCAAACTGAAAGTCTCGTACCGAACTGTTCAATAGAAATACGCATATCGTTACACCCTTAATATATATATAATTTATTTTAGTTTTTTTTTTTAATCACAAAATTTTCTGCAACTTTGGTCATTTTTTGTACATAAATCACAAAAAGAATTGTGTAAGAACCTGGGGGTTTGACAAACCACTTGTAGAACCACCCTTCTTTCTACAAAGCCCCTTCTTACTCAAGCACTTAATTCTCTGAGCACTAAGAGTTCCTCTGTATAATTAGCACTTGTAGTGTGTATTGCCTCTTCTTGCTGATTCGCTGAATGCCTCCTTAATTGTACTTCGCTTTGGACAAAAGCATCTGCTGTTTTTTTTCTATAACTTAAAGTATTTCTAAATACTTGCACTCAGTTTAGGGCTGCATAATTCTGGCTAAAATGTGAATCACAATTTGTTTTGCTTAAAATCAAGATCACGATACTTTCACACGATTCTTTAGATGTGAAATAAAGGTTAATATGAGTAGGCTATTATTATTATTGTTAATTCTCAAACATATCGTCACCTTGGAATAGGAATAAGGAATAAGGTTGGAATAAGGTTTACTCTGAATGCTGAGCTTTTTGAGTTTTTGCAATCCATATAGCAATAGCATATAGCAGTATGTGTGCAACATTTATTTTGTTTTTTAAAAGTCTTATAATGTAAACAATAAGTTGTCATTTAATAAGAATATGTAAATAACTCAATTTTGATAAAAATGTCAGATAGAACCTTATAATTCCAAAGTGACAATATGGTAAAACAACAATATTAATATTAATACTATGTGTAGCTCTACTGTTGCTTAAAATTATACATTTTGTACAGTCATTATGGTGGACTTGAGCAGACTTTTAATATGTCCTGTTTGTTAATTCACAGTAAAATGATGACATCAGAATATAACTATTGATAATTATAAAGTTGAATAATTATGTTTGAGACATGTGCTTGTCATCTCTCATTGACAGCATTATTTGACCACTTGTTTTCACTGGTAAAATCAGACATTTGTCATTATCAGACTCCTTGCATTAGTAGCTATACTGACACTGTGAAACATTTATTTTCATGCACAACACTATCTGTTCTGATTGGCTAAAGCAGACGTCTTACATCAGCACGTTCTAGACCTGCACACACTCTTTCCGGCAATCTTCCTTCTGCCATTACCCCCAGATGGGACCATCTCGTTGCAAAGAAACAAGCTCAGGGCTTCCATTGATTTAGCGCTATGGACAGTTTTTGATGTTATGTTATATTGTTGGAGCAATGTGTTAATGAAGTTATTACTTCCTAATGTTATAATAGCATTGTAAAGTTGGAGCAGTGTGCTAATAAAGTTCCATATGAGTACACAGTGGATTCACGTTTATTATTATTATTTCAACCCCCCGGTCTGCAGTAAAATTGTCAAGCGTTGACCGGTCCGCAGTTAGAAAAAGGTTAGGGACCACTGATTTAAGTGATGTGTGGCCAGTTTCATTTTCACTTTTGATTGCGGCTCATGGCTGCTGTCACTGTGAGAAAACACACACGCATGCAAGTCATTCTTTCAGCGCGGCTCTCAAGCGATCGCTCTGTGCAACAAACTGAACATTATTTAAACTTTATTACTTGTTATTCACAGCCTTAACAGGTTCTATTCGCTAAAGTAGCCGTCATTGACGTGCTGAGGTTTGTTAAGTGGTGACGTGTTTGTGACGTATGTAATACTGTTTCCGGGTCCAAGCCGCCATTCATTTGAGTGGAGAAATCATTCGTTTATGATCACGTTTTATTCCTATCACACATTAAAGTTCATTTTACATAAAGTCATAGTGTACACAACAATCTCTGGGCTTGCTGCATAAAAAATACCAAAAATTTAACAATTTATAAAATAATTAATCACTTTCTGGCCATCGGATATTAGGCATGGACATATATACCGCCATCGTGATTTTCGAAAGTATTAAATCGCTATGTAAATGTTTATTATTACCATTCATGAGTCTCCCCATTCAGTTGAATAGATCGCTTAGACCCGGAAGCCGCCTCGCGTGACGTCACACTTAACAAGCGGGTAGCTTATGTTCAGCTCATGTGTGATTTCGCGGCCGCAAATACATCATTACATGAGACAGAAATGACATTTCAGGGTGAATTTTACGTTATGAATAGAGTATGTGACACTTTTATTGCCATTTGAAGGTGTTCATGTTCCTGTGAAGACTTGTGCGACTGCCTTTATTCTTCTGTCCTGACCTTGAAAATACTGTATAATTGGCTGAATCGTAGAAAAGCTGAATTAAGATTGTGTGTAGGATCGAATCGAGATCGAGATCTTTTATCGATTAATCGTGCAGCCCTAACTCAGTTCATACAAAATATTTTTTACCATCACTTTGTTTTGAAACCATTGTTAAACGTTTTGAAAGGAGTTTGTTAGCATGCAGAAATGTGCTGAAAAGTATAGCTTGTAGAGCATAATTGAGAAAAGTGTTTGGGAATTTTGAAAAATGTGTTGATTTTCTGTGAAAGCAGTGGAAACTGATTGACAGTTTGCTCCGCAGAGACTTTAGTTTGGCTGATTATGTGAACACTTTTAAAAAACGTGGCTTCAGTACCGCCCAGTGCTTTAGAGGATGAATAAAGCTCAAGACAAAAGACTCCATACTTGCCTTCCGTATGCAGAACTTGTTAAGATTGTCATTGTATCGTAGAATCGTGACTTTATTGGGCATCGCAGCACAAATGCATGGGCCATTTTCTATCTAAAGCAAGAGCAGACACAAAATACAGTGTAAGGTACAAGTTTGTTGAATTGCATCTCGCAACAATGAGATGATGCAACAGAGAACACTAAAAATAAACCGAGTGTAAGTTGCAACGCAGTGAAACACAAACAGCCTCACCCTGCCCGAGGCAAACAGATGACAGCCCTTGACGGTCTCAAAGATATACGGCACAATCTCGGGCAGTGTGGGGAGGTGAGACTGGGATAAAGACTGCTTCACCTTCTTAATCTCCACCAGACACAGCGCTCGCTCGTCTCCTGCAACACAACAGTATAATCACTTTATTTATAATGCATCCCTAATGCACAGCGCATCGGCTGTAATATAATACAGTGATGCAATAGCATGATACACAGTCAGAATTATTATCCCCCGTTTATTTTTTCTGTTTAACGGAGAGAAGATTTTACAACACATTTGTAAACATAATAGTTTTAATAATTCATTTCTCATAACTGATTTCTTTTATCTTTGCCGAAATGACAGTATATAATATTTAACTAGATATTTTTCAAGACACTTCTATACAGCTTAAAGTGACATTTAAAGGCTTAACTAGGTTAATTAGGGCTGCACAATATATCAAAACTAGTGAAATATTGCAAATGTGCATATCGCGATGTACATATCTCAGTGGTTTGCTACATTTGTTGATTAACTACTAATTAATTATTTTGTTTATATTGTTAAAAAATTCTTATTTGTTTTATGCAGCAGTAAAACATGGCTCTTCACTTTCAGAAGCTGATGCTTTCTTTCCCCTTAAATGAAATGTAACGTGCACTCACTGGCCACTTTATTAGGTACACCTTACTAGTACCAGGTTGGACCCCCTTTTGTCTTCTGCCTTAATCCTTCGTGGCATAGATTCAACAAGCTACTGGAAATATTCCTCAGAGATTTTGCTACATATTGACATGATAGCATCACGCAGATCAGTAGATTTGACGGCTGCACATCCATGATGCCAATCTCCCGCTTCACCACATACCAAAAGTCTCTATTGGATTGACATCTGGTCACTGTGGAGGCCATTTGAGTACAGTGAACTCATTGTCATGTTCAAGAAACCAGTCTGAGATGATTTACGCTTTATGATATGTTGTGTTATTCTGCTGAAAGTAGCCATTAGAAGATCAAAGGTCAGCAAAAATACTCAGGTAGGCTGTGGCGTTGACACAATGCTCAATTGGTAGTAATGGGCCCAAAGTGTTCCAAAAAAATATTACCCACACCACCACCACCACCATCCTGAACCATTGATACAAGGCAGGATGGATCCATGCTTTCATGTTGTTGAGGTCAAATTCTGAACAGAGCATCCGAATGTGGCAGCAGAAATCGAGACTCATCAGACCAGGCAACGTTTCTCCAATTGTCTAGTGTCCAGTTTTGATGAGTCTGTGTGAATTGTAGCCTCAGTTTCCTGTTCTTAGCTAACAGTTTTGGCATCCGGTGTGGTCTTCTGCTGCTGTAGCCCATCCGCCTCAAGGTTAGACGTGTTGTGTGTTCAGAGATGCTCTTCTGCAGACCTCGGTTGTAACGAGTGCTTATTTGAGTCACTGTTGCCTTTCTATCAGCTGGAACCAGTCTGGCCATTCTCCTCTGACCTCTGGCATCAACAAGGTATTTGCGCTCACAGAACTGCCGCTCACTGGATATTTTCTCTTTTTTAGACCATTCTCTGTAACCACTAGACATGGTTGTGCGTGAAAATCCCAGTAGATCAGCAGTTTCTAAAAAACTCAGACCAGCCCATCTGGCATCAACAACCATGCCACGTTCAAAGTCACTTAAATCCCCTTTCTTCCCCATTCTGATGCTCGCTTTGAACTGCAGCAGATTGTCTTGACCATGTTTACATGCCTAAACGCATTGAGCTGCTGCCATGTGATTGGCTGATAAGAGTTAAACAGCAGTTAGGCAGGTGTACCTAATAAAGTGGCCGGTGAGTGTACATTAGATTAATTGCACCAGAGTTTGTTTTAAAGTTAAGTTTTAAACTATATCTGAACTGATCCCTTAAAATAAACATTACCATAGTTTTACCATGTTTTTAGACATGATAAAATCATGTATTTATGTACTATGCACTGTGACAATACCATTAGTTGTTTTAAATATCACATAGTTCAACTGAATCACTGTGAACGCTCCACTAAATAAATGGTGTGATTAAATAAGGGTTTAATTAATTTAGTGCAACTCTGGTGCAATCAGCCTGAAGTATGAGTATAACAAGTCCAAGACAACTGGACTACAACTGTGATCACACCCTTAGTCAAATGTCCTCATGTTCAGTGTGTGAAAGCAGAAGTAACTTGTGGTGATTTCTGCTCACCCACGATCATCAGCAGCTTGTCATGATCTTTGATAATGTGGATCTGAAACACGGATCCCAGACCCGGGATATGAGTGAGGGAGTTCTTAATCACATTCAGTGCGTAGAGACCCTCCTCAGAGCCCACCAACACAATCTGAAGACAAAAACACGATTAAAACCATATGTTACACCAGTGGTTCCCAACCTGGGGGTCACAGCCACCACTAGGGGTCGCCAAAGATTCATGAAGAGGAACATGCACAAATTAAACAGATACTTGTTTGATGACAAAATACATTCATTTATTTTCCTTCAGCCTAGTCTCTTATTTATTAGGGGTCGCCACAGCGGAAGGAACCGCCAACTATTCCACCACATGTTTTACGCAGCAGATGCCATTCCAGCCGCAACCCAGTACTGGGAAACACCCATACACTCTCACATTCACACACACTCAAACTTCGGCTAATTTAGTTTCTTCAATTCACCACATTCCCGGAGGATACCCACACCAGCACTGGGAGAACATGCCAACAACATGAGGCGACAGTGCTAACCACTATTTTTCATGTAGTTGTTGCTACTTATTATTAATGTGGGGTCATTTAAGATTATGACTGTTAAAATGGCGGTCTCCTGGAAAAAGAACCAATGTTTTACACCACTAAAAAGTGGGGACATTTACAAAAGACAATTTACCCTTCGCTAAGTCACACCAGAAAACCACCACACACAAATAGTGGCTTAGCAACCGTAGCCATGCACAGGAGGCCTGTCAAGCTTTCGAGCAAGGGAAACAAGTCAAAGCGTTGTGCATATGGATTGTGCAGATCTGATACCCGCTATCCTAAAAGTGTGGACAGCAAGATAGCAGACGTAAAAGCATCATTTTTTAAAAACGCCTCATGCTCGTTTCTTTTTTATTTCAAGAGTTCACACTTAGCTCATGATTTATGCATAGCTTGTTAGGCATGCTGTCCCGGGAGAGAGCCCTGAGCTCCAATTCCCCCCCACCCCCCCACCCCCCCTGGATTGTGAAGCACTTTGGGTGTATGGCCATACACAATAAATGCGCTATATATATAAACAAAAAATACACATTACATTACATTACAACACAATTATTTTTGTCAGTCGTGTTGCTTCTCATTTCTAAGATCACCTTTGCATGCATATTGGGCCATCCTTATTGTCGAACCCAGCTTTTAAGAATTATTTTCCAGGAAAATTACTTTTAACCAGCCACAGTGACTAGCGAGAGTGTCTGTCTTACCCGCCACCGCTGAAATCTACCCCCATTTGGCGGGTTGGCAGGTGTTAATGTCAAGCCCTGCCTGTAATGCATACTGCAATCCTATTTTGTCTGGCTTTCTCAGATAATTTCTCTAATTATATCTCTGCCACCGGCACATACATATTGTAATAGACATGCCAGGCACAAAAGCTTGACAGGCGTAACAACAGTAACTAGGGAGGGCGGGGCTTAGCGAAGGGTCAATTGTAATTGATTGATGAGGTTTTTCAGTGATGGGCACAGATACCTGGTCGGTCAGCGGCAGGGTGCAGTTGATATCCAGACGGTCGTCACCTTCTAGCTTAAGTAAAGAGTTACCCAATAATTTCTGTAGAGAAGCAAAAACACCATCATAAGCATGTGAAACGTTTACATTTGCAGTGCATTCCAGTTATACTGTACACTTCATCATCAGTACTGTATGTTCCCCCACATCCTACAGTCAGACCAGTGCACTAAAATCAAATCAAATCAAAAGCAGAACGATAATAACTTTGGAACGTGGACAATAATCATTACTATACTACAAATCTGACCAAAATAATCATGATTATGATTGTGTTTGTTGTTTGCTCACAGCATCTGCCTCAGCTTTCTCTCTGGCTCCGCGACTGCTGGCCACGATGGCTTCCAGCACTGCCACCCAGCGCTGCTTCTCTGAGTATCCCGAGGTCATGAGGTACAGAGTCTGACCGGGCCAGCATGTGGACTGAGGAGACGACTCCAGCTTCAGCACGTACGGCACATCTAAAACACCACACTGGCATGTTAGCATCCATTAATGAGATGCTTTTACTAAACACAAATCTGGGAGAGCTGTTTTAGCTGTCACCTGTTTTAGCGGTGTTGGGGAGCTCAGAGGAACCCACAGCAGAATGAACGGTCACTTCTCCATCAGAGAGACACAGCTCAAACTCATCCAGCGGCTTCACTGACTCTGAGAGAACAGATTATACAAATACATTTTTATATATATATATATATATATATACACACAATTATGCCGTCAAACTGTTGTATAAACGCAATATTACACTCATAGCAGTGCGATATGGCTGTATATCCTGCACACCTCCCACCAGTGCTGATATACACTGCTACGTGTGTGATATTGCTCATTTATACATATATATTTATATTTATATATATATATATATATATTTATATATATATATATATATATA